TCTACCAACAACTACCTAGTCTGTGATATCAGTTAGCTTGAAGCGGACGTTAACTTGTCATCAACCAACAACTACCTAGTCTGTGATATCAGTTAGCTTGAAGCGGACGTTAACTTGTCATCAACCAACAACTACCTAGTCTGTGATATCAGTTAGCTTGAAGCGGACGTTAACTTGTCATCAACCAACAACTACCTAGTCTGTGATATCAGTTAGCTTGAAGCGGACGTTAACTTGTTATCTACCAACAACTACCTAGTCTGTGATATCAGAGAGCTAGAAGCGGACGTTAACTTGTCATCTACCAACAACTACCTAGTCTGTGATATCAGTTAGCTGGAAGCGGACGTTAACTTGTCATCAACCATCAACTACCTAGTCTGTGATATCAGTTAGCTGGAAGCGAACGTTAACTTGTCATCTACCAACAACTACCTAGTCTGTGATATCAGATAGCTGGAAGTAGACGTTAACTTGTCATCTACCAACAACTACCTTGTCTGCTGAATAACTGGAAACTGACCTACCAATCAACCAGCCAAACAACCAAATAAGTCCTCTATAACATTAATGAATAAGGATTAAATAGCACCAGTTGACCAGACAAACACTAATTTTTTTCATTGATTGAAAGAGACCTATATTTCTATGTTTATTCTCAAAAAATATATGTTTAATTTATGGTGTTCTTTATTTTATAGTCCGAAATATGCGCGATATATACAGTTTTGGCAGTTGTCGCTCTACCATTTTCATATTGTAAAGCTATTACGAACTTATACCTTGTCTTATACCTTGACTGCAATAACCACCTTTCTTCTATTACGGAAGTTTGTACATGTAGCGATTAGATTGTACCATACCGAATACAGCGTATCAGTACCCTGGATAGAAAGACTGTAAACAATTTGTCTCAGCGTTTAATCCAGGGGTTTGATTGTGCAGTTGACCTTTAAAATGAAAAAGAATGGAGTTTTACGTCCTACTATTCTGCACCATGTGGGCTCATGAAGACAGTGACCTGTAAAGCCTGGGTTCTTATTTCCAAAAAAATAAATATGATAAAATCCAGGTTTTACGAAATACTGTAATCTGATTGGATAATAAAACCAATTTTAAGATAAATCTCAGTGATTGACCAATCAGATGATTGCAACACTAGAATCATCTTAAGTTATGTTTTTGAGAATATGGCCGCAGATCAACACAATCAAAACCCTGTAGAAAGTCTTCACGTTTCGGACTACAACATGTTTCTACTAGCCTTGTATTATGTTGGTTGTTGGCATGAGTTAGTTTCGGACAAGGATATGTTTTTCTGATTATCCTAGCCGACATCTATCAAATAGTCTACAGCTAGCATGGGTAAGTTTCGGACTAGGACATGTTTTTCTCAATGGTTCGCCAGCGTGTTTTACTAGCCTTGTAGTATGTTGGTCAGCCATGAAAACTCAATGACATGCTGATGTTTTACTGACGATTGGCACGTTGTCACGAATGTTAACAATAACATGTGATAAAGCAAACAAACAAGGTGTGAGAGGATAGGTCTATAAGACTGGTTTGAATATTTAGACTGGCCACTGACAATGAAAGGTTGACAACAATTTTAGGAAATATCGATAAAATTACCGTACACTTGAAAATGAACTAGAAAAAGATGAATCTCTCTGGTTATAGCCCAATGTCTGAGCTTCGACTATCATAGGGACTGGTTCAACAAAGCCCAAGGGCCCCACCCCACAGGGAGCCCCCAACCCCACTTAAAGGGACATGTGTGCCATTTTGGGTGATTGATATTTGTCTTGAATATTTGTAAATAGCACTAGAAACGTAAGAAAATCACATAATTGCTTTTAAAAATACTTCAAACTAGGAATTTTACTCA